GAATTCCGGTATACCAATCCAAAAATATAATCCCGAATTCCGGTATACCAATCCAAAAATATAATCCCGAATTCCGGTATACCAATCCAAAAATATAATCCCGAATTCCGGTATACCAATCTAAAACTACTTGATCCCAAATCACGGAATTAATCTGTTACATAATTCCGGTAATATTTCCCCCCCCCCCGCACTACCGGTAACGGCTAACACCCTCCCCCTCCCCCCCTCCCCATAATGAGTCCCGCCCCGGTAAATGCCGGCAAATCACGGCTCAATACGGATGGTAATAATCGCGTACGGAATCAGCGCACCTGGACGTAATGGCGGCCACTTGCACAATTAATTGGTCTACAGGTGCACTTCGGCTATGAATTTCCGAATGGATTATCAGGCAGTTAGCCAAGCTCTACTACACGGTAATACCCCCCCCCCCCTCTGTTGTCCCCCCCCCCCCCGACGACGTGCAAAGGGTCTCTCTTTGTCGTTTTAGTCTGTTTTTTCTGTTTGGCTGTCGTTGTCGCTAGATGTGTGTGTGTGTGTGTGTGTTTGAGGATACAATGTATGGCGTTGCGTGGGTTCTGTTTAATATCGTATGTGGGACGATGAGGATAATTATGATTGTTTTGCAGTTTGGCAATAATGTCCTTCCGTTTATAGAGGGAATGTGGACTCCTCCCACGCCTTCCGCTGTGTTTCGAGCCGGCTGCTTCACTTCGCTCATTGTTCGCGAACAAATCCGCATTGTTTCTGGATGCGCGACGAAAACGCCCAAATAACCGAACATTTTCGTGAGAATTTGTTGATCGAAATAACCATAATTTAGAACCCTTGAAAACTGAAATCTCGGGGAAGGGGGGGGGGATAGAGACATGAAATGGAGGCGGCCTAGCGAAGCCAGTCGTCGAAACAATGTGAGACTTGGTGAAGCCTTGAGAGTCGAGTCACGGGTCGAGTACCCGAGCTAATGTGAAGCTAAACTTTGGCGAGTAAAATCACGGCCGCGGCAGCTGTTTACCGACTGTGATTTTTTTGTGTTTTTGTTTTTGTTTCGTGCTGGATGTTGTGATTATGAGTGGTGTGTGTGTGTGTGTGTGTGTGTGTGTGTGTGTGTGTGTGTGTGTGTGTGTGTGTGTGTGTGTGTGTGTGTGTGTGTGTAAGTGTGTGTAAGTGTGTGTAAGTGTGTGTGTGTGTGTGTGTGTGTGTGTGTGTGTGTGTGTGTGTGTGTGTGTGTGTGTGTGTGTGTGTGTGTGTGTGTGCGTGTGTGTGTACTTGCGTGCACGCACATGTAAACCACTGATAGGGACACGTGGCAAATCCTCAGTGACAAGTCACTACTGAGGCACTGCATCTGCCACCCCCTCCCCCCCCCCCTCGTCTCCCCCTCCTCCACTCCCCCTCACCCATATATCCCCCTCCCCTCCCTTCTCCCTTCCCCTGTATCTCCCACTCCTGTACCTCTCCCTTTCCCTTTACTTCCTTCCTCCCTCTTTCCTGCATATCCCCCCTTCCCCTGTGTACCCCCTTTCCCTCTTCCCATCCCCCCCTAAACCTCCACACCCCCTCCAAGAGTCCCAGAGGAGGGGGTGGTGGGTTGAGGTGAGATTGCTAACGTAACTATTTCCTATACATAATAAGTTTGTATCGTGTGAGTAGTAATCCCCTGTCAGTATAATCGAAATTTGTATAATCCCCCAGTTTGTATAATCAGGCCTGGCCTCGAGCCGGGCTTGGGTAGTAGAAGAACTCACAGAACCCCATCAAGCAGGTATGAGCAGTCTCTATAATCAGCAGCCAGTATTATCGTCCGTTAGTATAATCACTAGTCAGTATGATCACTAGTCAGTATGATCACTAGTCAGTATGATCACTAGTCAGTATGATCACTAGTCAGTATGATCACTAGTCAGTATAATCACTAGTCAGTATAATCACTAGTCAGTATGATCACTAGTCAGTATGATCACTAGTCAGTATGATCACTAGTCAGTATGATCACTAGTCAGTATGATCACTAGTCAGTATGATCACTAGTCAGTATGATCACTAGTCAGTATGATCACTAGTCAGTATAATCATTAGTCAGTATAATCACTAGTCAGTATAATCACGTCACTATAATCTATCTGCATACTCAGTAATATATGTGATCACTATCATGCATGATCACTATCCTCCATTGTCACTATCCTTCACGATAACTAGCCCTCGGGTACCTATTTACGGCTACGTGAACAGTTATACATTAGGTGAAAGGAAAGTGCCCAACTATGTCTGCTCCGCCTGGGATTTGAACCCGGGATTCCCGATTGTAAATCGAGAACGAATCCCACCCTGCAGCTTGACCCCTTTGGCCCACACCTCACGGTCCCAACCCGTTCTCGCAAATTTAATAAGTCAATATTGACTTATTAAATATGTGCATAGGTGACATACTTAACATAATAGATACCCTTAAAAATATTCATAGAAAACACCGACCTTACCTAACCTTGTTAGTATCTTAAGATAAGCATCTTATTGCTTCGTAATTACAATTATTACCTAACCTATAATAGGTATAGGTTAAGTAATAATTGTAATTACGAAGCAATAAGATGCTTATCTTAAGATACTAACAAGGTTAGGTACGGTCGGTGTTTTCTATGAATCTTTTTAGGGGTATCTATTATGTTTAGTATATCACCTATGCACGTAGTTAATAAGTCAATATTGACTTTACGAATTTGCGAGAACGGGTTGCACGGTCCAGGCGGAAGTCATTCGTGGATGGAAGTCACGTTGAAGTAGCAGCTGGAACACCCCGCTGTTCCGTGTACCTTGACACGTCCCTGATTGACCCTTCCCTCCCTTCCTTTCTCTCCCCTTCTTTCTTCCTTTCTCTCCCCTTCTTTCTTCCTTTCTCTCTCCTTCTTTCTTCCTTCCTTCCTTCTCTATTTTCACTATTCCTCCGTTCCCTGACTTGGATTGTCTCTCTCCCACATACCAGACCCCTACCACACCCCATCTTCCCACATACCTGACCCCTACCACACTCCATCATCCCACATACCTGACCCCTACCACATCCCACATACCAGACCCCCCACCACATCCCACATACCAGATCCCCCAACAACACCCACATACCAGACCCCCACCACATCCCACATACCAGACCCCCCACCACATCCCACATACCAGACCCCCCACCACATCCCACATACCAGACCCCCCACCACATACCAGCGTCCCCTCCAGCTTACATCCGCCGTTGGACAAATC